ATAGCCACGACATAGCAATGGGTTACTGAGCGTGAAAGAATTAGATAACATAAACATTATTAGGGTTCAAGAACAATAGAAGAGTAATCAAGAAGAAATTAGATAGCAATTAACATTGCATATAAACTTTTTAATATCAAAGCAGATTGGAAAGCATATATATATATATATATATATATATATATATATATATATATATATATATATATGATTATGAGCCAGACTGATTTGAACATTGGGATCAACTGTGTGCACGTTGGCAGCATACTGATCCTGTCAATGATAGCCTTCCTGCCACGGTAGCTTTATTGCATGCAGTCAAGGCGGCCTTGCTGTTCATTCGCGGAAACATGTGACAATTGATCCTCAACAACTCGAGCAAAATGGCTCAACCACATGCTCCATCTGTCTAAAAGTTTGCAAAACACCTGCAGGTTTTTTGGGTGGGGAGACACATGTTTATTCATAGAATTAGAGCAACTCTTTAGTTTACTGAACCCTCATTTGGCGTCCGCAACTCGAGAATCCACCATTTAAAGTTGCACTAAATTAAAGACGATAAATTTCTATGTTTGCAATTGCAATTTCATTACAATTTTGAAATGATTTGTGAAACCTCCGCATTCAAATAAATAAACTGTCATCATTATCATGGACTCTAGGATATCAGGACAATAAGCCTTTTTAAAGATTACATTTCACATTTAATTGGATGTGCATTGTATAAGTGACATCAGGTGTAGGCCGCTTTCCCGGAGCTTAACAACACATGAATTCTCAGAATGCTTAAATAAAAATGATAAGAGTTCATTTTCACATACACACACACTCATATATGCAAATGTATGTAGACGTATACACACGTATATATTTATGTATGTGTGTGTACAAGTATAGATATATTCACATTATCATTGAGTATTTGTGTTAGCATGCATGCGCGTGTCTGAGCTAATATGGCGCATGCTAATTTATTTATTTTTTTAGGGGGGAGGCTTTAATATTATTTTATCTAAGGCCGTCCAATTTTTCCTAAAATATTAGACGCTAACGGACAACTAGTCTCGTCTCACGTTTAACGTTACCATTATTCTTCTGTTATGTTATCAGAGTTATTTTTTTCCATTTCATTTTTATTTTCATTCATCTTGTTTTCCTTTTCTGTTTTTATCGTCTGCATTTTTTTTTACCCTTTCTCCTTTCACGTTTCACCCTGATCTTTATTCATCTGTTCTTTCTTTATTTCATCTTTCGTTTCTTTTTATCCAGACCTACTTTAAGTATTTTCTATCGGACTTTATGGCATAAGGATTTATTATTTGCAACCAGACTAATGACTTCATCTTCATTGTCATTATCACAACGTTTCGGCTGTTGTGTTTTCAGACCCTCAACAGGTATTTGTCGATACACGTAACCTTTATGGTATGTTGGCTCTTAATTTACTAAGTCATATGGTTATCATTGCACTGGCTATGTCTAGAGGTATCACGTTTTGTTCTTTTTAGTACTGCTCAGGTATTGTTCACCTGTACCACCCGGCTCAGGGGTTGGACTCACAATTACTATACCACCAAATTCACGAACTAACTCTAATCTGACAAGGTCAGGCCTGCACTGGTAAAAAAAAATACTGTGAAATGACTCAAAGATATGAGTGCGATTTTCTTTTTTCTATGGAGAGTTAACAGGGTTAATTATATAACAAGTCGGTGAAATAATGGTTGAAAATGCTTTATTAAAATAACATTTTTTGTACGCGACTGGTCACCATATTGCTGGTAATATTTTTTTTTCAAAAAATGTACTGCAGATAATAATGTATTGCTGGTAATAATTTTTTCTTCAAAAATGTATGCGGGTAATAATTTTTCCCAAAAAAGCATTGCTGGTATTAAAACCTATTTTTATATTTTAATAGTGGTTGACCACTTTTGGAGGGTTAACTATTTGCCCATAGCTGGGACCCTGACAGGTGCTACTATCCAAGGGTCAGAGTGAACCTGGAAACACCAGCAATTAAGAGGTGGTTCCACGCTCCTCAAAAGATCCTGATCAAAGGCCTTGCTGCCGGATGTAGTTTATCGTCTTACCCAGGACGGGAATTTCTTCTGATGAACACAAACGATCAAGAGAAACTTAGTCATTGTTTATAGCAATTTTTCTTCATCCAAAGATAAAGGTTTGCTGCACCTTCTTCAGTGTGCCGAGTTTCTTTAGGTTGTAGCTGATCATGGTTCTCCACAACTTCCTATCCCTTGTAACATTTAGCAACGTTTGCCTTTTTGTCATGTATTTCCACCCCACCCAGTACCGTCATTCATTCTCACAAGCTGATCAGGTACGGGGCCCGCTGTTTTTCCTCGTCCTTTTTCCTTCGACATTTGAGTATGAAATTCTCCAAGCCCATTTTCCTCATTATATGTCCCAGACATTTCACTAAACCTTTTTTTCTGATTTCAGTTATAACTGTCCTTTTTATTTCCATTTTCCCTAAAATGTCATCCCTTCTCACATGTTCAGTTCATGGTATTCTCAGTATCCTTCTGTAGAACCATATTTCTGTTGCATCAAGTCTTTCCTTCATCTGAGAAGAGATTGTTCAATATTAAACGAATAAGCGATTTTGCGGATTCCGGTAAAATAGACTTGGTACCTATTTTGCCGATAAATATAAATAGCGTTTTACTTTTAGAACTAAGAAAATATTGTATTAAAGATCGTCAGCGCAATGGTTGTGTGAGCTGCGTAGGCAGCACTTGAACAAAATGGATTCTGTGACTGTTGTCTTCAGTGGAAGTACACCGGAAGTGTATTGGCAGGAGAATCATGCCCAAGAGCAAGTTTGAGATTTGCAGAGACTCTTATGCCGGAAGTGCTTAAAATATTCAGAGACTTCTATATTTCTTTTAATAATTGGTGATGAATAAATGATTTTAACCCGTGTTTTAACAATTGATGGCGAAAATAAACAAACATCTATGTTAAATCTTTTTAACATTACCTGCCTTCATAATAATCAAAAAATATTTACCGGCAAAATAGCCTGGTGGGGGAGTCTATTTTACCGAAAGCATATTTTTTCTATTTTACAGGGACAGGCAAAATAGCCTCTTCCAATATTAAGTTATGTGGCGAAATCAATATTTTAAATGAAAAGAACGCCTGTCATTCAAATTTATTTTTCTTCCATGTGCCGTGTCCCTTCAGGACGTGGATGATCCCGTTTCTGCACAATTTAGCCCTTATTAATGTTTATCTTTTTGCTATATCTCCCAGTCCTTGTTTTGGGGGAGTTTTTTAAGCATTTCACCCCAAGCAAGGCGGGAGTGCCACTAGCACGCAAGGGATTACAGAGGGTAGAGATCAAGGTATCAGAAGATGTCGATTGACATTACACATAAATATTTGAAGATTATAGTTACCATGGAAGCAAGTAAGAGGAAGAAAATTCCACAGAGGGGAAGTGGAAGAGAAGAAGCTGTTTGAGTAGAAGAAACGGTTACATCCTTGACCCGTTTCGATAGTGCAAGGGTGGGACCGAGATGCCAACCTAGTACCTCGCTTAAATTCATGCAGTCTGGGAACCAGCGAAAGCAAATCGTCGGAACAGTTGTTGTGAAAATATTTATAGAAGAGACAAACGAAAGCCACGGCATATTTGTGACTAGATGCCAGATCAGGACCTATCACATTGCATAATCTCTCTGGATTTTGTCGAGGATCCCGAGATGAACAGCGGGGGCACCAGACCATATATGACAGCCATATTCCATGCAAGGACGGACAGTTGATTTATAGATTTGGAGGATGAACTCAAACGAGAAAAACTTTTTGACACGACACAGAGAACCAAATTTCTTTGAGGTAGATGAAGCTATTGAGTCTATGTATTTGTTCCAACTCATATTTACGACGTTTCAGCCTTCTTCGGCTGATTGGAATATCGAACTGAACGCATTATTTTATCCACCGGAGTAGATTGTTCTAGTTCCACGTACCATGTCTCTTCTAGATGTCTAAGTTATCTCCCTTTAACTCAACTCTCCAAGTTTTCGTTCACCACTGCCGTTACCAGATATTGAACTCACAACTGTTTGGGTCAAGTCACTGGATCTAATCAACGCTTTTATCCACTGGGCCATGTTGGCCTTGAAGACACATAAGTGAAACATCGGGAAGAGGCATGGCACGTGGGACTTAAGTCCCTTCCCAACCGCCGTAATGTAGCTTCTCTGTGCTTTTTCTATAAATACTTTCATGCTAATTGCTCTGATGAACGTTTCTCTATAGTACCTAGACTTTATGAATATGAACGCAGTTTTAGATTGGCAACAATGTTTCATCATTTTACATTTGAAATGGCTAGATGTAACCGTAAGTTCTATGTTAACAGTTTCTTCTCTCGCACTTCTCGTTTTCTGGAACTCTCTTCTACCTTCTTGCTTTTCAGTGAACTTTGATATTCAAAAATTTAAATGCAATGTCAATCGTCATCTTCTATCTTCTTAATTTTTGTTCTTTTATTGTTCTCGCTCCTTCATAATGTTTTTCGTATATTCTTTCACACTCACTAACCTCTTGCGTATTAGTGGCTTTATTGCCTTGCTTTGAGATGAAATGATTACAAAAAAATTTCGTCTTGTTCTTTTTTTCAGACTGTTCAGTTATATATTCTCTCTTTCCTTCTCTCTCTTTGAATCTTATTCTCTTTCTTTCTTCTACCCTATTTGTTCGTTTCTATTTTTTCATATTATTATTCACACAGTACAAGGCTCAAGAGCTACTCAAGGTAGATGGCTACTAAGTGATGTTGTTGTAAGGACATACAAGGAGGGGGCATAAACTTTATCTCTCCCTTTCTCTGTTTCTTTCTTTCTTTCTTTTACTTTTAAATTCCTCCCTTCTTTCTCACTCTTACTTTCTTTTTTTTTTCATCTTTCTTTGTTCTTTTCGTTTTTCTTTCATGTAATTTGTTAATGTCTTTACTTTTACTTCAGAGAAGAAATCTTCTTTTTCTTCTTCATTCGCATTTGCTTATATTTTTTCTAACGTACGCTGTTTTTTTTTTTCTTTTTTCCTTCTCGCCTTTTCCTTTCTCTCTCTCTCTCTCTCTCTCTCTCTCTCTCTCTCTCTCATCTTCTTTCTTTCTTTCCTTTTCTCATATTCTCTTTCACATATTTTTCATTTGTCGCCTTACAAACCTTACAGCCACATCACGTTGAAACACGGCTTACCGTGCGATCACTGAAGTTAAGCAACGTTAACACTGGCCGGTACCACGATTGGTAACCGCTTCGGAATACCTCTTACTGTAAGCTTGGATGCGCGGATGGTGTAATGGAATCGTTAATCGGAGTACTGAGTTCCAGTTTCCATTGGGTTCGTTAAATTCACTTACGTGGAAATAACCTTGGAATAGGTATAAATTCACCTCTATAAAATAATTTGTAAAACATGTATCACGATACCATTATTATCTTAAAAAAATATCCTACAATCTAAAAACATTTTCTGAACGGCAAAGGGTTGTTTTATGACGTACAGTGGCCGTTAATGATTAAGTATATCTCAAGACTTCAATATCAAAATAAAACAGTATTTAATTACAAACGCAAAAAAATAATTAACAAGAACAAAGAAGTAAAAGTCAACCAAAAATAATTAACCATTTCAATAAATACCTTGTTAGTAGCGTGGTTCGGCTTAATGTCCGCTAAATCCTAAATCAAAACCCAAATCATTGACGCATAATAATTCACACTAATTCGACTGGATATTTCCACTCAATAATCACTGCAGTCAGTAGCCTGACACCATATTTATACACCTAATGGAAAACATATATTCATAAGTGCAGAGTGTTACGTTAGAACCTCAGTTACTCATATTCTTCATATATGACAGATTGATAAACCGTAAAAAACAACTCAATCTCTTTTCATTTTAATTCTCTTTCCTTCTATATGTCAATCGTTATTTTCTATCTCTTTAATTCTTATTCTTTTATTGTTCTCTCGCCTTAATCGTAGTTTTTCTCATATTTTCTAACACTCAGTAAGCGTCTTAGTGGCTTTATTGCCATTCTTGAGTTGAAATGATTAATAAGACAGTTCCACAATTTTGTAGTATTATCCTGGTCGAAGTCTGCTACAAATTTGGAGTATCTAATATGGATCAAACTCACTTTCCCTATCTAAGTCTGGTAGAAGGCCACAAGAATGGAGCGCCCATTAAGCATCAAACCCAACCATCCTTATCTTTATTTTCTTTTTGCCTTTCTGTTCCATGTTTTTCCTTCATTTTCTACAACCTTTTGTCTTTCTCTTTTATCTTTCTTTTATTTCTCCTTACCATGCTGAATTTTTTTTCTTTTCTTCTCTTTTCTTTTTGCATCCTTTTTCTTGATTACTCATTCCCACATTCGCTTCTGTCTTTCCTTTTTTTCTATTTCTCGTTCCTCTTCTTTTTCGCTTTCTTTTTTAATACTTGAACATTGTTACTTTCTTTCTTTCTTTTTCCTTTCTCTTTTTCATTTTTTTTCGCTTTCTTTCTTAATACCTGAACATTGTTACTGTCTATCCTTTTTTTCTATTTTCCTTCTTTTCTTTCTTTTTTGCTTTCTTTTTTTAATACTTGAACATTGATACTGTCTTTCATTTTTCCTATCTCTTTTTATTTTTTTCGCTTTCTTTTTTAATACTTGAAAATTGTTACTGTGTTTCCTTCTTTTTCCTCCTTTTTTTTTTTTTGCTTACTTTTTTTTAATACTTGAACAATGTTCCTGCCTTTCACATCTCACCTTCTTTATCTCTTTTTTTTTCTTTCTTCTCTTCCTTCGTACCATCGGACTCCCTCCATTTCACCTGTTTAATTTTTTTTCTTCGTTTATTCCTTTTGAACAAGCTTCTTTCTTTTATCACTTTCTTGCTCTTTCCCCTCATTTCCATTAATTTTATTTTTCATTTTCGTTTCAGTTTTTTCTTCTCCCTCTCTATCGCTTCCTCCCCAGCATTTTTTTTTTCTACATTTCATCAATCATAATGTCTCGAACAAAAGAATAAGCAAGAGGCCATAGGCTAAGGTAGAGGGAGAAAGTGATTGATTAGGATGAAGACACATCGATACTTGCCAGCAACCATCCCAGAATCCTAAAACCAAACAAAAAAATGGAAGTAAAGAAAAATTGGCCGATCGCACATTCTTGCCAAAAGGAATTCAGATGCCATTCAAAGACAACATCAAATGTTAGGTCTAAGAACGAAGAGAAAATGGTGGATACTGGGGGGATGATCCTTGAATGAATTGGGGTATTTGCATACGAAGATGTGATCTATCAGGACTTTTTTTTTTTTTTGACAGACTATTAGATTGACAGCCGAGAGGTCATAGGTTACAATGCAGGTACAGTTAATTCAAGATAAAATTTATCCATACATCTTGAGTCATTTTTACCCCACATTGTTATTTTCCCTTCTCTCTCTCTCTCTCTCTCTTTCTTTCTCTCTCTCTCACACACACACACACAAACAATCTCTCTCTAATCGCTCTCAATCTCAATCTCTGAATATATATATATATATATATATATATATATATATATATATATATATATATATGAAAAAAATGTAGTCTTAACTTGTTATATATGTATGGGGTAAAGTGCTCAATATCAGAGACAGAACGTTTGTAAATATAAAAAAAATACATTTTCACAAAGATTTAATAGAATTGCAAGGCTGTTTGAAAGCGATTAAGTCCAGCATGAAACAGACTGTCGCCTCTAAAACAAAAATTCAATCTTTCATATATATATATATATATATATATATATATATATATATATATATATATATATTATAATATTAAGTGGTTGAAAGTGCCTCGATATCGGTGATAAAAGTGAAAATAACATATTCAGTTGTAATGGATATTAGTTTGTAAATTTTTGATGGGTTTCACGCTAACCTATGCGATCATCAGACAAAAAAATTTATTTTTTTTTAAAAATAGATCTATTTATGCTTGTTTGTGTTTGATTATGTTTTTATAAGAGTAAGCTATTCTACTATATCTGTATGGGAAGACTCTCTAAGATACATAGACAAAGATACAGGTGTATGAATTTTAGTTTCTACAAGCACACCTGTATAAATTGTATGAACTAAAATCTATATACCTGTATGTATGTGTGTCTACATATATGTGAGGGTCATCCCAAACAAACACAGAAATTCCCCACCCTAACAAACACAAATAACCATAAAGAGATCCCATACAACTGAATTAATACATACATAAATACATATAGATAGATAGATAGATAGATAGATAGATAGATAGATAGATAAGCTTTCCCTGACGATCCGCTTAGGTGAAACCTGGGTAGGTTTGTCTGGCTCACTAGGTTTGACTAGGTCTGCTCTACTATTGTATTGAGCTCTTTTTAGTTAGTTGTTTACTCGTGTCGTTTTTTTTTCTTTGGGCTTTGAACCTGTATCTGTGCGATTTTTTTCGATAGACTTTTCTTTGATTAAAACCCTGCTAACATTCTTTTTAATTAATTTTCTTTTTTAAAACCTTTTTTTCCTTCGAGATTGATTTGATTATTGGCAAATCAAAGATTCGGAGTTTTTTCGAGATAGTATAGTTACCTATATATATATATATATATATATATATATATATATATATATATATATATATATTAAATAAAACAGACCACTTTTAAGGTTCCATGTAATAAATTATTTCACCACAGCCCTTATACGGATTACCTAGTTTTTCATAAACTATATATATATATATATATATATATATATATATATATATATAATTATTAATATTAAGATAAAAAAGTTCACTTTTTTAAATCTGGACTCAGATTTGTCTTTGCAGATCATAGTTCTTTTCTGTGTAAATAAGAAATTATTTTTAATGACGTAAATTTTTTAAAATAATTATGTTATTGGTGTAAACATTGATGTTTGAAATTAAAATTTGAATTTTTTTCAGTTATAATTAAATCATGCACTACATAATTTTTTTATTCTTAATCATTTTACCTCAAGCAAGTCAATAAAGCCACTAAGACGCAACAGGTTATTGTGTGTGAAAGAATATGAGAAAGAAAGCATTATTAAGAAGAGAGAGAGAGAGATCAATAAAAGAACCATAATTAAGACAGAAGATAATGATTAATATTGGATTTAGAAGAGTAAAATAGACAGGAAAGCAAGAAGCCAGAAGAGAAAAACTTTTAGCAGAGAATTTATGTTTCTATCTCGCTATTTTAACTGTTAAATGATGCCGTCAATGTAATACAACATATGAAATCTTAAGCTTGAGATAATTCATAAAACTCGTCAAACCAATTACCATGAATATTACGTTATGGCGGCAGGAAAGAGACCGATGCCGAGATGTCAGGTCATGACGAAAAACATTGCAGATTCTTCTTTGGATTTCATCAAGAATCTCTAAATACATAGCAGGAGCACCAGACCATATGTGGCACCAATATTCAGAGCGAGGACGGACGGTAGGCTTATAAAGGTGTAAGATAGATTCTGTCGAGAAAAATTGTGTAGCACAACACGGTGAGGATATTGGAGCCGAGTTCACAGGTTTTTGCTATCGGTCAATTAACCTTGTAAACATATGATCTCTTCTCTTCTTCCCACACAGATAGGAGTTAATAGAAAGACAGATTGGTCTCTAGAGTTGCCATTGGTAACCAGACTAGCGAGAGGAAAATTCTGAATTCAAAATCGTTTTGGGGTGGCAGTAGCGACTACAAAATCCTACTTCCTATGGAAATTATAGTTGCAAACTTCCGGTGATTAAACTCTGATTCCATACCGGACTAGGGTGTCTAAAGTTATAACAATCGCACATATACACATTCTTGTGTCTTAAACAATTTAAACACATTTAGCAGATTACAAGATTTTTTCCTTCAGGGAGCTTTTAGAATAAAAATGGTTTTCATTACCGACCTTTTAGAATTATAATCGTTTTAATTTAGGAAGCATTTAGAATTATAATAGTTTTCTTTAAACGGTTTTTAGACTTATAATGGTTTTCTTTGACCGGCTTTTATAAATATAATTGTTTTTCTTTAACCGGCTTTTACAATTACAATGGTTTTCTTTAACCGGCATTAAAAATTATAATTGTTTTCTTTAACGGGCTTTTACAATTACAATGGTTTTCTTTAACCAGCTTTTAGAATTAGAATTGTTTTCTTTAACCGGCTTTTAAAAATATAATGGATTTCTTTAACCGGCATTAAAAATCATGATGGTTTTTCTTTAACCGGCTTTTAGAAAGATGATAGTTTCCTTTAACCAGATTCTGAAAAGCCGGATTCTAGAATTATAATGGTTTTCCTTAACCAGCTATTAGAATTATAATGGTTTTCTTTAACCGGCCTTTATAAATATAATTGTTTTTCTTGAACCGGCTTTTCGAATTACAATGGTTTTTTTAACCAGTCTTTAGAATTACAATGGTTTTCTTTGACCAGTCTTTAGAATTACAATGGTTTTTCTTTAACCGGATTTTAGAATTAAAATGGTTTTCTTTACCGGTTTTAGAATTAAAATGGCTTTCTTCAACCAGCTTTTATAAATATAATTGTTTTTTCTTTAACCGGCTTTTTAGAATTACAATGGTTTTTTTAACCAACTTTTAGAATTACAATGGTTTTCTTGAACAGGCTTTTAGAATTACAATGGTTTTAGCTTTTAGAATTACAATGGTTTTCTTGAACTGGCTTTTAGAATTACAATGGTTTTCTTTAACCAGCTTTCAAATTACAATGGTTTTAGCTTTTAGAATTGCAATGGTTTTCTTTAACCAGCTTTTAGAATTACAATGGTTTTAGCTTTTAAATTACAATGGTTTTCTTTAACCGGCTTTTTAGAATTACAATGGTTTTCTTTAACCAACTTTTAGAATAACAATGGTTTTCTTGAACTGGCTTTTAGAATTACAATGGTTTTCTTTAACCAGCTTTCAGAATTACAATGGTTTTAGCTTTTAGAATTGCAATGGTTTTCTTTAACCAGCTTTTAGAATTACAATGGTTTTAGCTTTTAGAATTACAATGGTTTTCTTGAACCGGCTTTTAGAATTACAATGGTTTTCTTTAACCAACTTTTAGAATAACAATGGTTTTCTTGAACTGGCTTTTAGAAAGATGATAGTTTCCTTTAACCAGATTCTGAAAAGCCGGATTCTAGAATTATAATGGTTTTCCTTAACCAGCTATTAGAATTATAATGGTTTTCTTTAACCGGCCTTTATAAATATAATTGTTTTTCTTGAACCGGCTTTTCGAATTACAATGGTTTTCTTTAACCAGTCTTTAGAATTACAATGGTTTTCTTTGACCAGTCTTTAGAATTACAATGGTTTTCTTTAACCGGATTTTAGAATTAAAATGGTTTTCTTTACCGGTTTTTAGAATTAAAATGGCTTTCTTCAACC